TATTTCTGTTTTCTTTGTTAATTAAAGTAAGCCTACTATGTCCTATTTTTTAAATACGTACATTTTTACTGATTTCAGAGAGGAAGGAAGAGGGAGAAATAAAAACATCAATGATGACAGAGAATCATTGATCAGCTGCCTCCTGCACGCCCCCTACTGAGGATCAAGCCCAGAACTTAGGCTTGTGCCCTGACCACGAATCGGTCTGACTATCCATTTTAATACCAGGGTTTTGTTTTTTCCCTCCTAATTCCCTCCTGGTTTCTTAGGTCGACGCTCAACCACTGACCGACACTGGCCTGGCTACTGTATACCATTTCCATGTCTCTGCAGTCCGTTTCTTTCATGTAACTTATGCCTTTTGTCTCCTCTTCATTAGAGCTTCTCGTTAAGGATTTTTGTTTCCTTCCCTGGAAATACCGCTCGTATTACCCATCCTGTATGTGACTAAGCTGTGTGGACCAGGAGTCTGCCCCTCAAGATAGACAGATCCTGGTTTGCATCCTGGCTCTGCCACTTCACAGTTGCTTAACTGCTCTAAGCATCAGTCGACTGAACTATGAAGTGGGAATCATTATGGCTCAGCATGGAAGGACTGACCAGAAATGCGTAAATAAATCATCCATACGGAACAGTGCCTCTTCCCCCAGTCTTGCCGGGATGAGCCTGCTAGAGAAGAACTGTTATTACATAACACTTTGTTCACAACACTCCAGTGACATAGGCATTGTGGTTTTCTGACCTTTTCTTTGGCTAGCTGTTTTGGTAAATCTTAAAAAAAATTTTTTTAAGAGATCCATATTCATGGAGATGATTCAAAAGTGAGCAGCGTTAGTTCTTACATGTCATTTGAGATTTAAAACCCATTAGGGCAGAGACCAGGCACCGGAACAGCCTATGTGGTGACATGTTAGCTGAGTAGGAATCTCTCAGGCTGGTTATACTAATTTAATATCTCATTTTGAAAACTTTACCATTAGCACACTTGCTAACTCTTCATTTTAATACCAGGATTTTGGGGTTTTTTTCCCCTCCAAATTTTAATACTTCATAATTTCAAGTCAAATTATGAAATTATAGCAAAAAAAACAACTAACTTTTATTCCTCTGCCTTAACTCTGTAGA